GTATAACTTGTATTGTGAGGCACCCTGCTTTGGAAAAGGAGTTAAGATACCCTCATGTGTTGGACATACAGTGTAAGTATTCTGTGAGGTAGTTACTACTTGGTATGTATCTTATAACCACCCTCTTTATTGGTGTATGCCTTCCACAGGAAGGAGACGACCACTTACTGCTTCAGGAAAAAAAGGGAAATTAAAACTGTAGAGCAAAGCATGTGATAAGAGGTAGGTCAGGCAGGAGTAGAAACCTAGGGTCTCTATTAACAAAAAATATCTAGTCACAAAGCTAGAATACCATTATGTTTCTACCGTTTGTTTTGGATGTTGGCTCATGGGTAAACATTTATTATCCGTGTTTATATTTAACATTGAAAAGATTACAGACAAAATAACAAACTCAGTTGATCCATAAACTATTTATAGTGCCTTAAAATTCAGCAGTATTAAAAAAGAATCCTAATGGAGGTTCATGTTTGAGATGACAAGTTGAAAGTAGGTCTTATGGGGGTCAGTAAGTTATTTTCAAATTACTAAGATTTTTCTACTCTAATTTGCATAAGGAAACAAGAACATAATATATACATTCCTATCATTTGTTATTCAGTTTCAGGTTGCTCGTGTAACTCAAACCTCTACCAGGCTTGTTGAACAAATTTGTGGCTTTAAAACACATGAATATGAAGTGAGATGGCTTACAATGCTGCTTAGCTAAAATCAGTTAAAACAAAGAAGTTTTAGGAACGTGATCCGTTTTTGTTAGACAATGCATACGTGACCAAAACGAGCTATTTTCAAGTTCTTCCTCTGGTATGCTGTCTCAGCTGTGTGCTGCTTTAAAGTTCCAAAATCACAGAAGTCTGTCAATTCAGTTAGAAGAAATGTAGTGGCTGGAAAAAGTCAATGTTTCTATCTTGCTTTGACTAGAATCTCTTGTGGGTTTGTTTTTGTTCTCTTTAGTGAAGAATCACTTATTTGGGCATAAAATAGTGATTAGTACTGGTTTACTTTGTCAATGTTGAAATAAAGTTCTAGGTTGAAGTGCCATTGATACAGAAATGGACGTAAAGATTATTTGTTCCCATTATTGTCTCAAACAGTGAATAAGAGAATGAAGTTCTGTACTTAAAGTGAAATAAGGGGCCAAGTTGGTCTTAAACTTATTTTTATCTGAAATTAGTGCTAAGGCATGTTTCAGAACTTCAAACAAAATCGTGTAGTAAGCAACACAGCAGCAAGCGAGAAGCAGATATTTTATGCCTGTGTTCTCTAGTCTTCCTTCAGTTTTCCCGTACGCTTACAGCTTTTGCAGCGACTCCTCCATCTCTGCTGTAGGAGCTTGTACCAAATCATACTGGTTCTTCTGTTCTCTGGGTTCTGAATATTTCAGCTAGGTCTCTCTGGCTTGTCTGAAGTGGCCTCCTAGCTTTTTAGAGCTATAACAACATAATTCTGCATTATGATGCAAGTGGATAACTGTTAACCTTTTTAACTGGTATCTGTGAACTTTTTGATAATTTCCTAATTACCTGGCTTCTCAAAACGCTGTTTCTGACCCTCTGCTGTACCTTGTTAGCGAGATGTAGCTGTAAATTACCATTCCTCAATTCCAAAAAACATTAAACTGATTCTTTTCTTCTGAAGTCCTTTCACTTTGGCAAAGTGCTGTATGTTTGCTGAAAACACACAGTGCGGCAGTTGCACTGATTAAAACAACTTACTGTTCCTGATCTAATCCACTGCTGCATATTATGCTGCAGCTTGGAACTGTATTGGTGTTCTCTGTGTATTTTGTTCTTGTTGGTTGTTGGTTTTTAAATTAAAAAACAAACAAACAAAACCAAAAACCACCTTCTGCTCCACTGAGCTGACCATTACACACAGTTTGTGTTTAAAGAAAATATTGTGATTGTTGATAGGTTAAATCTTTTTTTGTCAGATGCCCCAGAAGTTTCAGTAACTGGCTATGATGGAAACTGGTTCATTGGAAGAGAGAACGTTCAGCTCAGATGTAATGCTGATGCAAATCCATTACCTATGGAGTTTATGTGGACCAGGTAACTATTTATAAGAAGGGGCTTGGCACATGATTAAAATGATATAATCTCTTACCTTACAGTAAATACCTGTTTTGAAAACAAGGAGTATATGATTTGTATTGGGTTGTAATGGTATTATCCAGCCTTTCAAAAGGAAGATGCAAGATGTGTGTGTGTATGAATATGGGTGAGTGGATATTTTGCAAATTTACAAGCCTGAACAGTTTGTCATTACTCTCAGGATAAAATATTTTGTAGTTACATAATAAAGTAGACTAAACAGTGTATGTTGCAGTACATAGAGCAAAGCCCAATAAATCTAGTAGGGATCCAACTATTGTTTCATTAGTTCTGTTTTCTTATTACTTAAAGTAGATTGTAAACACTTGAACAGACTTTTCAGTATCTGCATTTTAAAACCTGAAAACTATAGTTGAGATGGCAGATACCGCTTACTGAATTATAGAATTTGTCATGTTTTTCAAAAGTGCTTAAGTAGTTGCCAAGACAGATAAATGCGGTGTTTTGCATAGTGATGGAAACTAGGTCTTGAACATATGTCTCCAGTTAAAAAAAAAAAAAAGTCTTATATAACAGCTGCATTTCATGAATATATGGATTGGGTGGGCCCTACTCTGAAACTTACTGCTTTGCTTTTGCAGCCATGGGTGTACTTTGGGCAAGAGACAGGGGAAGACGATAAAAGCAAGCATAGATCAAAATCTGTCCTGTGAAGAAGAAAAAAATTAAACCCACCTATTTTAAATTGATTTGTTGCCTGTAGAAACAAAGGAAGTAACTTTCCTAAGGACAGTGTAAATTTATATGTAGCTATGTTACAGTGCTTCTGTTGGTAAAATCACAGGAATATTTACTGATGTGAAGCTGTAATCCATTTCCCTGCCTTCTCAATAGTAGATATAATTTAGCTTATAGGAACAGTAGTCATAAGGTGGTTTGAAAATGTGGTATTGATAAGTTTGGAATTGCTTGATGGCAGTTTCACAGGAAAACAAAACATGACTGTAATTGACTCAATCCTAAAAGCAGCCATTGAAACCTTAAGTCAGTATTGCAGCTAACTCTAGTCAGAATGGCGTGGCTATGCTAAAGTAAGTTTAGTAAAATGTATGTCTTAGTAAAATGCGTGCTTTACCTACGTGCTGCAGTAGGCTGCCATTTCCATCTCATGCTTTGCTCAAATTCAGAGTGATGAGAAATTTCAGCACTAAAAAATTTCTATGTTTAAAAAAGCATGCCAGGCTCTCAACAGCAAGTACCGCTTGTTTCTTCAGATGAACTGGGTTCTCAGTTCTCTGATTTGAATTTGGGATGTATGCAAGAACTAATCAATACAACCTCTATTTCCAATTCCAGGAAAAATATACACAACACTTTAAAGCACTCAAGCTTCAGAGGTCACTTTTAAACTTCCTGGGGTTAAAACTGAACCAACTTTTACAAGAAAAGCTTAATTTTCTGGAAACTAGCATACCTTTTTGTTTGAACAACAGCAAAACCCATCCAAGAAGCTGTAATGCTGGTGAATGAGGAACTTTGGGGGGGGGGGGGGGGGGGGGGAGATTATGGAAGGGGGAGAGAATTCTATGCAAAAGAAGGATGGCTTGAGTGTTTAAGGAAATGGAAACTAGCTGTATTGAAATTGTGTGCTATCTTACTGGTTTCAAATTATAATAGCTTCTAGAACTACCACACCAAAAAGTCTTTATCCCTTAGAAGCAAAGGTGACATTGTATTTGCTAGGCTACTAATATTTTCATAGTCAATAATATTTTTAAAATGTTGGCCTTGTGAGAACTTTATTAGAATAGAGCTTTCAAACCAAATGACTATTTTATAATGTTTTTTTAAATACTTCTGGTACTATGAATTATGAAGTACATGCTTAATCACTTTTATCAACTTTATATGGATGAAGCAATTCTGGGCAATAATCAGTGTCAGCAAAACAATGGGAATGTTGTTGTGAACCTACATTTGTTGGAGATCATGTTTACTCTTAACTGTGGGGGTCTTTTCCATTTGACTACCTATTTTCAAGTGTCAGGGGTGGCGCTTTTGTTCAATACTACTTATAAAATCGTAGTTGCTAAATGCTTCCAAGATACCAAGACCTGGTGATCACATGTTTAAATATTTACTTAGTCCTGCTTAGCTGTTAATAGATATTTAGTTAAAAGGAAGATGGGATGCAATGGGCATGAAATTACACAGGTTTTTAACAGGCAGTTGGCAGCTCTGTTAAAATAGTTCCAGTGCCTCTGCCCTTTCCCCTTTGTGTTGTGCTTACACAGTTGTTACTGCAATCACATGCAGAATGCTACAGGGAAATGATAGATTTGGAAAAGTAGTTGATCGGAAACAATTTTTTTGACCAGTTATTTCCCCAAATGTATCACCAAGCACCAAATTCAGTTTCAGTGCTGTAATTTAGATGGAAAAGTGATGGGGGATGAGAAAAGGCAGGTTGAGAGGGGAAGAAACTCCTTGAACTCTTGCTCAGAAATCCTAGTCAAAATGTCCTGTAAGTTAAGCATGTACTGATAGAAATATTTATTGTGATAGCTCAACTGGATGGAAAAGAACAGGAAGATAATCCTGTCAGCAGTGTAACTGCATCTTAGTTTGACTGTTAGTTTTCAGAGCTTGAGTTGGGTTGCTCCTCCAAGTTCATTTGAGATAACATTTTTTTAGTTGTAGTGGTGGTCATTTGTAGACAGCTTGCTAGTGCCAGCAGACTTGACATTTAAAGAACTTGGCACAGAAATTAAAATAGTACGTGTTCAGGTGGACACTGAGAATATCCAATGAAAGCCCATTGAGAATGTCAGAGCACAGTGAAAAGTTCACTCTCTAGGCTACTGCAAATATTATTTTAAACTAGTTATATTTAGACTTAAAGATTCACAGTTGAAAATTTAACTAACTGTTTTATTTTAGGTTGGATGGACAATGGCCGGAAGGATTGCTGTCTGTCAACAATACTCTGCAGTTCAGCAGCCCATTGACTTACAACTACACTGGGACTTATATCTGTAAGGTGACTAATTCCCTTGGTCAGAGAAGTGATCAGAAGACTATCTACATATTAGGTAAGTCTTACTTCTCAGCAAAGATAGTATGTTAACTTGGAATTTTTTTTGGTCAATGGTTGAAATAGCAAACTGAAGAGCCAGTTGATGCATAAAATATTATGCCTTTTAATTGTGTGAGAAGCTATGGAAAGTACAGATTTGAGAGCTACAGTAAAACTTGGGATTAAACTGACTCTTCAGTAACAGCAACATACGGTGGAAATTCTTAAGGTTGAGGTAGTTCCCATAGTGCTTCCGAGACTATTAACTTTCTCTTGGTAGGTGAACTTTGTTTTCTTTCCAGTGTTAGCCTGCGTTTTGGCAAGACATATTGATGGCAATAAACACTACCTTGTCTGTAATAAATTGAAAAAACAGATTTTAGTGGGAGAGGAACAACTACATTTAGAAAAGTCAAAGATGCTCTGCTTTCAGGAAGTTAGGGTTATGTTCTAAATGTGTGTTGTACTCCAGTTACTTGTCTCCTTTTCTCGGGATGCAGATGTCCAGTAATCATGAAGTTAAGTATCATGCAGAACTCTTGCTGTTCTACTTTGTATAATATGGCAAATTTGTGTGTCTGTTTAGCACCACTGCTGTTGGAAAACATCCTTGTATCTATTAATGCAATGTAATTTATGTTTTACTACGACACCTTTGTGAAAGAATAGCATGACTTAGGGTATATGTGAATAGTGCTGTACAAGTGTGAAAAAGCTCTCCAGATTTCCGTAATGGATTAGCTAAATTTAGCTAATACCTAGCTTGATCAATAAGTGCTAATATATTACCATTTTTTAAGGGAAATACAGACACACAAAAAATTTCATTCTGTTGTATGGTGTTGCTGGTCGTCAGTAAGTTCTTGACATTAGTTATTCCACAATGTGAATTAAGTGTCAGAGTGCATGTTGGCCAGTTACAGAATACAAACATAGATGACTTCTTCGTAAGAACTTAAAACTAAATATGAACGCGTAAGGGTTGAGATGAGGATGAAGTAAAACTGAAGGTACAGGATGTTTGAAGCCACATCTGTCACAATTCATATTTGATAGTTATCTGCATCTTTAGAACTAAGATGGTGTTTCAGTCAGACTGACATAACTACACTTCAGGCCATTGTGGAAAACTAGTAAGTTCTAATTGACTAGTTAATGGGCTAGTTAACTGGAAACTTCTAAATAGTTTGAGACAGTGGAATTATTTGTAAACAAATTATATAAAATTCTAGCTATTAAAAGACTGTTAAGTGCTGCAAGCTAATATGAAAGTCACTTCTGTGAGAAGTTACTTTTGGATGCTTGGTTCTAATGTTTCCTTCATGGCTGTGTAACAGTCTCAAAACAATTACGAAGACTTGGCACGTTGTAAGAAATATCAAGTCAAAAAAATTAGAATATAATCATTAAATAGGATGAAGTATTCTCCTGGAATGTAACATTCAAATACACTTACTGAGAAAATAACAATATGGTTAATAGCTCTGTTCTCATCCCTGTTCTAACTGTAAGGAGGGGGGAAGTTTTTTCAAGTCCACCACTTTTCAAGTTGTTGGTTCTAAGAATACGATCTGCTGTAAGTAGAAGTCATGCTTTTTACCATGACTGTCATGCATGAAAATATAAGGCTATCATTCAAATTATGTTTGTGACTAACAGACTAAAGTGGGCTAACTATGAAATCTTGTATGATGTGTCCTAAAATGAATCAAGTTTTTTGAAAAAGCATAATAGAAACACGTGCTAGTTGAGCTGTGGTGATGGCCTATGTTCTAGGCAATGGTAAATGCAACATAACTTAAACTAGCTTACTGCAGAGATAGTTAAGCTGCAGTAGTTGGTCTTCGCTGTGGACTGATGGATACTGTTTACATGTGTGCTGCTTTTCAGCTTTGTTCAGCAACTTTGTTTTGCTGCAGTAACTTCACTGAAAATAGCAAAACTTAGCTGTTTTTAGGGAGTGCCAAAACTGAACCTCAGCTAGCTAGAGATCATACAGGGTCATGGTTCTACAAGTTATGTGCACCAGTAAAAACAATTTAGTAGACATTAAATTAACTTCAGGTTTTAAAAACGTCATGTTAATCTTGGAGTGTGTAGCATGACCAACTTCTAAGAAAATACAGGTGGTTTTTAGGCAACTTAGAATAAATCTGGTGCCGTATCACTACAACTAATGCTCAGGCAAGTCGTACAAGTCAGTTTAACGCCGAGACAAGCATCCAGCACTCTGCTCTAGATACTTTAGACAAGACTATACCAAACTGATTAAAAGCACTATATTAACTTAGTATATAGGAAACTTGATGAAAATGAGAGGTGAGGCAATCATAAAGTATAGCACCTGTATCATTTTCAGAAATTAATATTAAGCATGTTTTATTGTAATTCTAAGAATAACTTTTCAGTGTGACTGGCTCTTTAAGTAACTGAAATGCCCTTAAAATGATGCAGGATGGGTAAGTGACTATGAAATAGCAAAAATGTCCATCTTAAATAATAATCATTGAGGTTACGCTACAGAGGGAACAGAGACTGATGTTGGGAGTACAGAAAATAAGACCGAAGTAGCAAACTTAAGTTAAACTGCTTACCACCTTAATATTTGACTTAACTGAGAAAATATTATCTAGTAATGGTGAACATGGCACTGCTGTACTGTAGAGCAATCATTTAATTAGCTTATTTTTCTATCTTAGTTATTTTCCGCTGTATAAAACTTGGCAAAAACATAAAGTGAAACTTTGAAGCTAGCAGACAAAGCTGTATGATCACACCATCTTTCAAATTTTAATTATGAAGATGTCAAAGAGGATTTATGAAGTTAATGTTTCTGAACAGTCATGATGCTGGTGGTTGTAAAGCTTTTTAACTGCTAGAAAAAATAACTATTAAGTTGAAATGTGTTGTAGGATTGGAATGTAAGCTGAGCAAAAAATGCTTTTGGTCTTAACATGCATTGTTAAAAAATAAAGCTGTATTTTTAATAAATTCTGTTGTGCTCCTAACCTTTATGTTAATACTCTTGAAGTAGAATAGGGAAACATAAGAGAAGTAGTTGACAGGGACTAAATGATATTCACCAGCTTCTAGTTACAGGAGATGATACGTCTTTATATGGATAGGGAAATACAAAAATGGTGTTTGAAGCTAGAGACTTTTTTTAATATTGGTTTTAAGGCACAGATACCTTCACTATTTCTTACTTCTTGTTCAGTGATGTAAAGTTAAACTTGGTTTGTGTAGTTGTCCAGCAAAAGCAAGTCATGCTCCTCATGGAGTTTAGAAGTGATCAAGTGTTGTTGAAGTTCCTGACTTAGTCCTACAGCAACAGGTTTTCCAAAACAAGCTGTCAGCTTGATACGTAAAACACTTCATCTTGTACTATAGACTTACTCAGTTTTTTTACACAAGGAATTGAACTTCATTTTCTTGGCTCTGTGTTCCCTCACCTTCATGCTGTTTACTGAGGCTTCCCCTTTCTCCATTTGCAAGAGAGAGGTGACCTGCAAGACTCACTTCAGATATGAACGTATGTGCTTCCTCTGTTATCTTTTCAAGTGACTGACTTTGGAAAAGACTACTTCTTGTTAAAAGTAAAGCAAGCCTTTGTTAGCCAGCAATCCTAGCAATTCTAGGAAGATGTGACTTGTAAGTACAGTCACCTTCTTGTAGTGTGGATGTTGTCAGGGTTAACATAGCAGAGGCTGATCATCGGTTTTGCTTTTGTTTCTTCGTATATAGACCTCTTTTCTGAGAGAGCATTGTGAATACGGATGTTCTTGTGTTTTCCAAAGTATGTATTAGAAGGGATATTGATAAACTGCTTTTTTCTGCTGTATAGAAAAGGGGGTCCCAGGAGATCCTAACTGCTAACTTGCATGCTTTGAACTTTCAACATTGTTCCTGAATATTCCTTGCAAGCTTGAGGTTATGTTAAAGATAAGTTTTTCTCTTGTGTCCCAAAGAAATGCCAAAATGTTCTACTTGGTGCGTGGAAATCCCAGTTAGAAACTGCAGAAGTACACTGAACTTTGAAAATGGGCGGTTGACTCTGATGAAGGAAATTGTCGGTTGCTTCAGGCTGATCTCAATCTTCATATCGATCATGCTGCCAAAATGGGGGAACAAACTGAAGATAATCCTAAGGAAAATATTTAACTCCAGTGTGGAACCTGTGCACACAAGATGCTTGTGGGGAGAGGGTCGCACAGTGTCCTTACCCACTACTTGACTTTAGAGTGGGAATGGTTGGAGAAACAATGATAAATTAAATGATTTTGAAACTTCAGACATTCAGAAAGCCTTCTTTCATGGAAAGGCTACTTTACCTGCTGTTATAAGGGAGTTGCAATGCAAGCTTTTCAGCAGTTGAAAGAAAGGGCTGTTTTTATAATGCCCAGCTACATAGAGTTATGAAGAACTTTAATTTTTAGGTACTTAGCATCTAAGGGAAATTTAGCAATAACAGCAGGTTAAGCAGAGGTAAATATGTCTCCGTGCAAACATACATGTAATAAGTATACAGGTAGACACTTCTCACTCCATAAAATGAGAACTGCAAAGAGAGATCTTGTGACTGGTGCAAAGACAACTCACTTTTGGATTATAAGTAATTGATAGCAGGTCCTTGTCTAGCAGAAGGCAAAGAAAGGGATGTGGGAGTTGAACTATGGATCTTGAATCGTGTGGGGTTTGTGTGTTGTTTTTTAAATGGGGAAAACTAGACTTTATCATGTTTTTTGAAAGTAGACAGACTTTGACTGTCTGTATTAATACACAACAACTAGCCAAGGTACTTTCCCTTCCAAAACTTTGTTTCTGTAATGCTTAAGTGACAAATTTTAGCTGAAGGAGATGTGTGCCAGCATTGAAGTTTCTTCTTCCTTATTATAGAGCTGGTCACCTTACCCCTGAAATACTTCATAGTGGGCTAAATCCAAAATGGTTTTGTAGTTTAAAAATATTGTATTCTCTAGTTGATTTTTACAATGGTGTGCTTGTTGATACCAAGAC